CAAAACAGAGCGTGCTGCTCTGACCGGCTTTAAAGGGTTAAAAAACTAATATGAATTTTTTCCCCTCATGACTCCATAACTACAGGCAGGAATATATTTAAACCAATTTTACTTCGACTCCTATCACAGACTGACAGCTGTGTTTGGATTTTAAATTCCTTCAACAGCGTTGAAATTGACCCTCCGGACCCCAGGAAGTGTCCCGGCGATCCTGAGAGGCAGACCGCCACTGCAGCCGTGTACATATGAACCATTTCTGTCCTGACGCCAGCCCTGTGCAATGACACCAGAGCAACACTTTGATTCAGAAAAACAAGTCTTAACCCTCTAACGAGTCTTTGAAAAGATGTGAAAAGACACGTTTTATAAAATGTCATCACTCTGACGGTCTTACGCTCAGAGACATATGATTCCTGTAGAGACCCTCGGACCAGTTACAGAACAAGACAAACCAATAACGTCGGGTTTGTTTGTTGGGCTCAGTCCATATCATAGGTCTGACTGTTACTGATGAGAACCTGAAACAAGGATTTGACTTAACCTGGCAGTCCAGTCAGGACAGAGCCCAGCAGGACTACATGCTCAGGCTGAACGAGGCACAGGCTGTTTCTAGAAGGCTCTACTCCACCTGGAAACCAAGCAGGAGACCAAGACAACAGCAGTGCTGCATCCTCCTCTGTGGCTCTGAGTGTCGACCCATCACCAAGAAGCGCTTCACTGAATATGCGACATCTTCCATTCAAAGACTGAACTGCACAGAAGAACTGTTTGCAGAAACATCTCAGCACTTCAGATTGTTCCAGAAGAACATTTGTGAGAACAGACGCTGATGTTGGACAAGAACACCTCAGTCTCCACTCTAATCTAAACGTGTTCTGTCGGGTTGGGGCCAGGACTCTTCTGCACCAAACTGATCATGGACCTGGACCTTGCTTTGTGCTCTGGTGTGCAGTCATGTTGGAACAGGAAGGCACCATCCCCAAACTGTTTCTACTTTACTTTCCACTGACTCTGCAGGAAGTTGGCGACCTCTGCACCTC